TATTTTTTTTAAACAAAAAATGTATTTTTATTCTTAAAATCATTCCTTTTTTACCATCAAATAATGAAGGAGTTTTTAAATTAAGAAAAAATGATTAATAAATCATACACTCAAAAAAGGAGTTTTTCAATTAAAAAAATTAATACATTACGCTAAAAAATATTTCATCGTAAAATATTTTCTATTAAAATATTTTAAATTCTTCACCATAAAGTGATAATTTATATAATTAATGAGCTAAGAGAGCTCTAAGGGCTCAATCCAAATTTCTTGATTTTTCAATTTAAAAAAATAATTAACAGATCACACACTAATATTTTTTTTAAACAAAAAATGTATTTTTATTCTTAAAATCATTCCTTTTTTACCATCAAATAATGAAGGAGTTTTTAAATTAAGAAAAAATGATTAATAAATCATACACTCAAAAAAGGAGTTTTTCAATTAAAAAAATTAATACATTACGCTAAAAAATATTTCATCGTAAAATATTTTCTATTAAAATATTTTAAATTCTTCACCATAAAGTGATAATTTATATAATTAATGAGCTAAGAGAGCTCTAAGGGCTCAATCCAAATTTCTTGATTTTTCAATTTAAAAAAATAATTAACAGATCACACACTAATATTTTTTTTAAACAAAAAATGTATTTTTATTCTTAAAATCATTCCTTTTTTACCATCAAATAATGAAGGAGTTTTTAAATTAAGAAAAAATGATTAATAAATCATACACTCAAAAAAGGAGTTTTTCAATTAAAAAAATTAATACATTACGCTAAAAAATATTTCATCGTAAAATATTTTCTATTAAAATATTTTAAATTCTTCACCATAAAGTGATAATTTATATAATTAATGAGCTAAGAGAGCTCTAAGGGCTCAATCCAAATTTCTTGATTTTTCAATTTAAAAAAATAATTAACAGATCACACACTAATATTTTTTTTAAACAAAAAATGTATTTTTATTCTTAAAATCATTCCTTTTTTACCATCAAATAATGAAGGAGTTTTTAAATTAAGAAAAAATGATTAATAAATCATACACTCAAAAAAGGAGTTTTTCAATTAAAAAAATTAATACATTACGCTAAAAAATATTTCATCGTAAAATATTTTCTATTAAAATATTTTAAATTCTTCACCATAAAGTGATAATTTATATAATTAATGAGCTAAGAGAGCTCTAAGGGCTCAATCCAAATTTCTTGATTTTTCAATTTAAAAAAATAATTAACAGATCACACACTAATATTTTTTTTAAACAAAAAATGTATTTTTATTCTTAAAATCATTCCTTTTTTACCATCAAATAATGAAGGAGTTTTTAAATTAAGAAAAAATGATTAATAAATCATACACTCAAAAAAGGAGTTTTTCAATTAAAAAAATTAATACATTACGCTAAAAAATATTTCATCGTAAAATATTTTCTATTAAAATATTTTAAATTCTTCACCATAAAGTGATAATTTATATAATTAATGAGCTAAGAGAGCTCTAAGGGCTCAATCCAAATTTCTTGATTTTTCAATTTAAAAAAATAATTAACAGATCACACACTAATATTTTTTTTAAACAAAAAATGTATTTTTATTCTTAAAATCATTCCTTTTTTACCATCAAATAATGAAGGAGTTTTTAAATTAAGAAAAAATGATTAATAAATCATACACTCAAAAAAGGAGTTTTTCAATTAAAAAAATTAATACATTACGCTAAAAAATATTTCATCGTAAAATATTTTCTATTAAAATATTTTAAATTCTTCACCATAAAGTGATAATTTATATAATTAATGAGCTAAGAGAGCTCTAAGGGCTCAATCCAAATTTCTTGATTTTTCAATTTAAAAAAATAATTAACAGATCACACACTAATATTTTTTTTAAACAAAAAATGTATTTTTATTCTTAAAATCATTCCTTTTTTACCATCAAATAATGAAGGAGTTTTTAAATTAAGAAAAAATGATTAATAAATCATACACTCAAAAAAGGAGTTTTTCAATTAAAAAAATTAATACATTACGCTAAAAAATATTTCATCGTAAAATATTTTCTATTAAAATATTTTAAATTCTTCACCATAAAGTGATAATTTATATAATTAATGAGCTAAGAGAGCTCTAAGGGCTCAATCCAAATTTCTTGATTTTTCAATTTAAAAAAATAATTAACAGATCACACACTAATATTTTTTTTAAACAAAAAATGTATTTTTATTCTTAAAATCATTCCTTTTTTACCATCAAATAATGAAGGAGTTTTTAAATTAAGAAAAAATGATTAATAAATCATACACTCAAAAAAGGAGTTTTTCAATTAAAAAAATTAATACATTACGCTAAAAAATATTTCATCGTAAAATATTTTCTATTAAAATATTTTAAATTCTTCACCATAAAGTGATAATTTATATAATTAATGAGCTAAGAGAGCTCTAAGGGCTCAATCCAAATTTCTTGATTTTTCAATTTAAAAAAATAATTAACAGATCACACACTAATATTTTTTTTAAACAAAAAATGTATTTTTATTCTTAAAATCATTCCTTTTTTACCATCAAATAATGAAGGAGTTTTTAAATTAAGAAAAAATGATTAATAAATCATACACTCAAAAAAGGAGTTTTTCAATTAAAAAAATTAATACATTACGCTAAAAAATATTTCATCGTAAAATATTTTCTATTAAAATATTTTAAATTCTTCACCATAAAGTGATAATTTATATAATTAATGAGCTAAGAGAGCTCTAAGGGCTCAATCCAAATTTCTTGATTTTTCAATTTAAAAAAATAATTAACAGATCACACACTAATATTTTTTTTAAACAAAAAATGTATTTTTATTCTTAAAATCATTCCTTTTTTACCATCAAATAATGAAGGAGTTTTTAAATTAAGAAAAAATGATTAATAAATCATACACTCAAAAAAGGAGTTTTTCAATTAAAAAAATTAATACATTACGCTAAAAAATATTTCATCGTAAAATATTTTCTATTAAAATATTTTAAATTCTTCACCATAAAGTGATAATTTATATAATTAATGAGCTAAGAGAGCTCTAAGGGCTCAATCCAAATTTCTTGATTTTTCAATTTAAAAAAATAATTAACAGATCACACACTAATATTTTTTTTAAACAAAAAATGTATTTTTATTCTTAAAATCATTCCTTTTTTACCATCAAATAATGAAGGAGTTTTTAAATTAAGAAAAAATGATTAATAAATCATACACTCAAAAAAGGAGTTTTTCAATTAAAAAAATTAATACATTACGCTAAAAAATATTTCATCGTAAAATATTTTCTATTAAAATATTTTAAATTCTTCACCATAAAGTGATAATTTATATAATTAATGAGCTAAGAGAGCTCTAAGGGCTCAATCCAAATTTCTTGATTTTTCAATTTAAAAAAATAATTAACAGATCACACACTAATATTTTTTTTAAACAAAAAATGTATTTTTATTCTTAAAATCATTCCTTTTTTACCATCAAATAATGAAGGAGTTTTTAAATTAAGAAAAAATGATTAATAAATCATACACTCAAAAAAGGAGTTTTTCAATTAAAAAAATTAATACATTACGCTAAAAAATATTTCATCGTAAAATATTTTCTATTAAAATATTTTAAATTCTTCACCATAAAGTGATAATTTATATAATTAATGAGCTAAGAGAGCTCTAAGGGCTCAATCCAAATTTCTTGATTTTTCAATTTAAAAAAATAATTAACAGATCACACACTAATATTTTTTTTAAACAAAAAATGTATTTTTATTCTTAAAATCATTCCTTTTTTACCATCAAATAATGAAGGAGTTTTTAAATTAAGAAAAAATGATTAATAAATCATACACTCAAAAAAGGAGTTTTTCAATTAAAAAAATTAATACATTACGCTAAAAAATATTTCATCGTAAAATATTTTCTATTAAAATATTTTAAATTCTTCACCATAAAGTGATAATTTATATAATTAATGAGCTAAGAGAGCTCTAAGGGCTCAATCCAAATTTCTTGATTTTTCAATTTAAAAAAATAATTAACAGATCACACACTAATATTTTTTTTAAACAAAAAATGTATTTTTATTCTTAAAATCATTCCTTTTTTACCATCAAATAATGAAGGAGTTTTTAAATTAAGAAAAAATGATTAATAAATCATACACTCAAAAAAGGAGTTTTTCAATTAAAAAAATTAATACATTACGCTAAAAAATATTTCATCGTAAAATATTTTCTATTAAAATATTTTAAATTCTTCACCATAAAGTGATAATTTATATAATTAATGAGCTAAGAGAGCTCTAAGGGCTCAATCCAAATTTCTTGATTTTTCAATTTAAAAAAATAATTAACAGATCACACACTAATATTTTTTTTAAACAAAAAATGTATTTTTATTCTTAAAATCATTCCTTTTTTACCATCAAATAATGAAGGAGTTTTTAAATTAAGAAAAAATGATTAATAAATCATACACTCAAAAAAGGAGTTTTTCAATTAAAAAAATTAATACATTACGCTAAAAAATATTTCATCGTAAAATATTTTCTATTAAAATATTTTAAATTCTTCACCATAAAGTGATAATTTATATAATTAATGAGCTAAGAGAGCTCTAAGGGCTCAATCCAAATTTCTTGATTTTTCAATTTAAAAAAATAATTAACAGATCACACACTAATATTTTTTTTAAACAAAAAATGTATTTTTATTAGATAGTGAACACGCAGCCCACAATTAACTGAAAGTTGAACACGCAGCTCAAATTTCAAATTTTCTGAACACGCAGCCCAGGTAGATAGAATTTGCATGTAGCTTATTTTACTTCATCGGCACACAGCCCATTTCATCTTATTGGCACACAGCCCATTTCATTATCATTGGTATACAGCCCTTTCATTTCATTATTGACACATGTATTCATTCTGAATGCAGGCTTGCTCCCGTAGTGTGCGAGGATATGGTTCTACCATGGCATGGGATTGGTATGTTGAGCTCCCGGAGGGCGTCAGAGACTTAGTAGACTTGGCGGGGTTTGGCCCCTTCTGTGTCGGGTTGTCACGCTGTCCTGCCAGGAGGACCTTGATGGCAGCTTTGGTAGAGAGATGGTGGGACACCACCAATTCCTTTCATTTCTCTGCTACCGGGGACATGACTATGACCCCTTTTGACTTTGCTGTATTGACCGGCCTTGATGTCGGAGGTTGGCCCATCCCCCATGATGAGGATATGGGCGAGTGGGAGGCCGCCTGGATGTATTTGTTGGGGGCTCGCCCACCTGTTGATAGGGTCTCAGGGAGAGTCAGATACACTTGGTTCTCTTCCCATTTTCGGCGGGCAGAGATGGTGCCTGAGACTCCCGAGGAGACAGAGCAGTATGCTCGTGGCTTCCTGATGTTCCTCTTCGGGACTACCCTGTTCGCCGACAGAGGGAACACCATTGGGCTATACCTGTTGAGCGCTCTGGTTGACCTATCACAGGTCAGTAGATATGATTGGGGTGGCGCTGGCCTGGTTACCCTCTACTTTTACATGAGCGCGACCTCCCGCGGGCGGGGCGACTTACTTGGCGGCTACTGGAGAGTTTGGGAGGTACTTTTCTGTCCCCCTGACTTACATTTCTGCTTCTCATTACTTGTACATTGCACCCACAGCGCACTTTTACAGTCTGCATTTTGCTCTCAGCATTTCGTACTTATATTCTGCATTGCTTTTCTCAGCTATGGGCTTATGTATACTTCCCATCGTTAGCCCCAGAGCTGGAGGTGGTGGGGATTCCCGTGACCCCATATTCATTGATATTTGAGGGCCCGCACCGGGCGAGGCCTCGAGAGACCCTGGTTCGCCTGCGGCAGTACTTCGACACCGTGCGACATTCAGAGGTACTTCAGAACTTTCAGTTCTTTTCATTTTTCATCTTTGACTTGCTCTGTACATTCTCGTTTTCTGATTGGTTTATACATTTATCATCCGCAGATTACTTGGCAGCCTTGGGCGCCTCTGGGTGATGATCTCCTACTTCAGTATACCGGAGCGTCAGGCATCTCCCGGTATAGGGTCCTGCTCGAAGGGCCAGTTGGCAGAGTCTGGTTCCTGGGGGAGCGCTTTCTGCGCCAGGTACGGGGGTATCTTTCTCAGGATGTTCCCGCGGTACCTCCAGCTAGTATGCGGACTGCCGACAGGCTCTCTTTCTCAAAGGTAGTCGGCGCCATGCTGGGCAGCGATGCTTTGCTATATGTTGCGGAGGGGGACTACGCCACCTATCGTCACATATATTTGATGCCTCCTTTGACAGAAGCTCGGATCAGGCTCAGGCTCGAGCTACAGACATCCCTTCTTCTAGCAGGGCTGGCGCGTCTAGAGGTGGGAGTAGACCATTTCCTCCGACCCCGTCGATTCATCCTCATCTGGGATGGCCAGATATGCCTACTGAGTTGATGGCGTGGCAGTATGGGACTAGCTCTCCGATTCCGATTCCACTAGAGCCTCCGATGCCCAGCGATCGATACGCCATTGATCCGGACTCACCGCCGGTATGCTCCACTTTTGTCATTCATCATTTCAGATGTTTAGACACTCATTTGTTCACTGATGATTACGAACTCATTTTTGCAGCCATCGCGAGGGTACATGGAGGAGGTGGTTGGACTGGTGGCCACACTCGAGGGCATGGTCTTGCGCAGGGAGGCACAGTTGTCCGTCGCAGGCATTCAGGTACCCTTCAGTTTTCTGGCATTTATCATACTTCTGATGACATGCTGATTTCCACTGCAATGATTGACTATTTGTGTAGAGCACATCTGACACATACCCCTCTTGTACACTGTATTTACATGCATTCACTTCATGTAACCTTTGCTTGTATCTGCATCTGATGTATATATTTGAACTGATGTATTTGAATTGAACTCTTTGTTTTCAGATGCCTTCTTGGTCCGGTCAGCCGCAGGCCAGGCCACCTGGGCCTCATTGGGGAGCTGGGCCATCTGAGCCTTATCAGGGAGCTGGGCCATCCGGGCCTACCCGTGGAGCCGGGCCATCTAGGCCTTATCGAGGAGCCATCTGAACCTTTTCAGGGGGCGGGGTCATCTCGGCCTTCCCGGGGAGCCGGGCCATCTAGGCCTTTTCGAGGAGCTCGAGGAGGGCCCGTCCACAGACGTAGGGCTCATGTTGTGGAGGTGGAGTCTGATGAGGAGGAGGAGGATGCTGAGGCTACCGACCGTCAGTTCGAGACATCCGTTGAGGAGGGAGGCTCCGGTTTTGGCTCGGGGAACAGAGGTGAGGCTGAGGAGGATCCTGAGGATGACAGCTCCGACTCAGACGATGGCGCGGAGGTCGTCTCGCCAAAAAGGACGAGGCGTGCTTCTCGTTCCCGCTCCCGCTCCCGAGGATTTTGATGCTGCTATTTCCTGCTTTATTTTTCTTTTTTGCTAGTAGTTTGTAGCACTTTGCACATTGTTAGGCAGTTTTATTTTTTGTAAAACTTGTACCTTTGTTTGTTGTAAAGCGTGATGAAATGAAATAGCTTTTGAAAAGATGTTTGTATTTTTAGCATCGTATCGCATCAATTTATTTTGCACAGAAATGAAATCGAATGGTAATGCGCATTGTGTACTCACCAAGTCAGGTAGTGAACCGACGCAACAGACTAAACAACTCAACTTACTAAGATATAACAAGACCTTAGAAAGTTTACAACTCGATAAGCAAAATGCAACAACACCAATAAACCAGACTTTAAACAAAGATTGCTTAAACAGAGCGTAATGACTCAAAAACACGAAACACGTCCGCTCGACAAACAACTCGATAAGCAAAAATAACAACTTGAAAATCAAAACACCTTAAAAACAAAGTGTACTTTTGACGATCAGAACGCATCCGAAACGGAGGGAGATGAAGGCCTTTGAGTCTCCTGTTGCCCGGAAATGCTTGGAATTCTCCTTCGAAGAGTAAAACAGGGTCAAGGAGATATACTGCAGCATTGCCAGTCATCCTTGGGAGCTGGCCGGCCATTTTTTGAAAAAGTAAATGGCTGGCCGGCCAGAAAAAGTAGCTGGCCGACCATTCAGTCCTGCAGCCACCGGATTTTCGACACGTGTCCCCGTGAATAGTGTTTTTCCTTCTATAAAAGCCTCAACTTCGGGAACATTCATTTCATCTTAGTTTTAGACAAAGATGGAGGCGTTTCTCGCAGAAAATGTCACATCTTGGATATCTTCTCTAGATGGCTCGGAAAAGCTGAATTTTCGGGGTTTCGGCTTGAATGCACTATTCACGCTGAGCCGTACTCCGCTACAGCTTCCTTTTCTCCATGCCGCGGCAAGATTCTGGAATCCAGTGACGCATGTTTTTAGTTTTGGCGGCCAAGAGATGTGTCCCACTTTCGAAGATTTCCAGGTTTTAATGGAGTCCGAGTGCTCTGAAGTGATCTTGCCTCAGCTCCGTTTTGGTCACGCCTAGGCTTTAGGGCGGATGTGTGGGCTTACAGCACGCGACGCTCGATCTCTGATTTGTAGTGGGGATCTAGACATCCTCGGCTTGATTCACCGTTTTTCCGACGCCGGTGACCGCAGCAACCATTATTGGCAGGGCTTCCGGCAACACGCCCTCTGCTTGTGTTTGTTGTCTCACTTTCTGCTTTCCTCGGGCTTCGGCGGGGCTAGCATTCGCCTGATTGAAGTCGCCCAAGGCTTGAGAGAAGGAAAGAGCTGTATTGCCATGACCTTGGCCGAGACATTGATGGGTTTAGATTCTGTCTATCGCCGGGAGGTGACTAGGTTTGCCGGGAGTCCATTATTACTGCAGGTAACGTTTCCCTCCCTACCTTACATTTATATTGCTCACATCACTCGACCCTCAGGCTCGGTTTTTCTCACAAAAACCTTGTCTTACTTTTCTCTCATCGTACATCTCTCTATTCTTTAATCTCTCATTTTTTCATCCCTCCCCCAGGTATGGTTAATGGATAAGTTGCAGGTTGTGGACTCTTGCTCAGCTTATTCAGCTCGAGGCTATTTCTTTCGGCAGCGCCTTGTCAATGCTCTTGACGAAAGGTGGTTCGATTGGATGTGCAATTTGTCCGCAGACGGCATTGCTTGGCGTTGTCCTTGGCTCAACCTTCCAGCAATGAGCTATAGTATGTCTCGGCAGATTGGGATCCAATTGG